ATGTTACGCCATTATGATCTTGAATCCACTTGCGAGCTCTAGCACACGCATCATCTTGACCTCCATCAGGCCCTTCTCCAAGAATGCGCATACATATGTAGTTGAGTGCAGTACAAAACATGGTGCTATGTCCTTCTATGTGTAATCCCCACCCCCCATCTTCATTCTTCAATTAATAATTTAATATACAACAATGCTAATTATTCACTAATTTTACATCATGGTTAATTGGGTATGTACGCGTATAGTCTGAAATTGAACAAGTATACCTGGTGGCAATAAATATGACGAAGCATCTCTCTGCGGTGCTCTTCTGGGAATACTGAATCAAGATGGCCTGTAATGTACATGCAAAATACCTGCAATATTTTATGGCAAGTGCAAAATTTATGTTCATTAGGGCATCTGAACTTGAACTTCCTAAAAAATCCGGTGCATATCAAATTATTAATAACAACGAGTAAATTTCTCAAAATTTCAGGAGCATCCAAAAAATCAAATTAAAATAAGAGAAAACATTTTGTCCTTTTAAAAGATCTAAGTTATGTCATTTCATCCACTTATAACTATGTACTCCGGGGAATACATAGTTATAATATTAAAATTGTACTTTTTTCACTTTCCACATCAGCCGAAAGTTTTTGAAGAGAGAAAAAAAATATAACTTTAATATTATATTAGTACATATTTATAAGAGGGTAAAATAATATAACTTAGATCCTTTAAAAGAACAAACTATTTTCCCTTGAAATAAATATTTTTTTGATCTTTAGAAAATTTAAATGTTACCGGTTTGAGCTTCTAATAATAAATGGGGAAATCAAATATAATGTTACAAGGACAAAATATTTGTGTCCTACTAACACACAAAACATGGGTTCCACTTGAAATAAAAGAAAAAAAAAATTGACACTGTTTTTGATGATGTCTGTAGGACACAAATTTTTTGTCGTGCAACATTATATTTGATTTAAATACATCACAAATGTCAATCTTTTATGCCTATTTGATCTTTAATTTTACTATTTTCAGAATATCAAATTGATTCTTAGAAAAGTCTAATTCAATGTTAAAAATTAATTAAATGACCGTGTATGAGATTAAACTTTATATTTTTAAATAATATATAATTGTGCCATTTTAATCAAAATTACTGTATTTTATGGTAAAAAAACAGAATCATAGTTGGAGAAAGTGAGAGATTTTTTTTTTAAATTTTAAATATTAAATAAATACTAATAATTTTAATTAAAATAACTATCATTTAAAAGGACAAATATAAAACCTTAATGTATTTGTTATTCAAAATTCAAAATTTATATTTAATATACATAAAAATTGAAGATTAAGATGATATGCTAATCAATCTTAATATATATATATATATATATATATATATATATATATATATATATATATATATATATATACTAATGTTATAAAGAGAAAAAAAAGGGTCTACTAAATAAAGTAACTTTACTTATACCGTTAGAGGATCATAATTAATAATTACCAATGAAATAAAGTATATATGACACTGACCAAAGGAGGAAGAAAAAAGAGTGGACCAGCTATTTGAGCAGGCCAATGGCCATCAGTAACTTGCAATGCTGATAGGTAATGGGTGGCCCTTCTTAACGCCGCTGTTGTATTCTGGTACGTAATCTCTTCGTCCTCTATCTTCGTACTACCTATTATTTGTCGGAAGTTCTTTTCTCTCAGAAACTGCATCGACCAGACTGAATTATCAGTTTAACCGCTAAACATATTGCAAAATGGAAAATGAATACTTATATCTAAGGCCATAGGCAATACAATATAAGGTCATATTAACATGACAAAAACAACTACATGCATGATAGTATTATATGTCGTATATTGTAGAGATACTTTTAAAGTTAGATAAAATTTAAAAACATGAAGTTATAAGAAAAAATATTTTTAAAATTATAAGGTTGATATACATATAGTTAGAGATGTTCGCGGTTTAAATTGAATCGGTTTTGAAGCAAAAATTATCTGATTCAATTTATCTGCTTTGATCGTTTAATCATCCATTCGGTTTGAATTTTTTAAAAAGATCTAATCCAATCCATTCCAATTTTATTTGATTAGGATTGGATCGATTTTTTTTGAAAAACTTAAAATTTTAGCCATACAAATCACTGGCTATTTATAAGTAGAAATTATGGCTATTTATAAGTAGAAATTAGGCCAAGTTTTGAGGAAAACTCTTATAATAAAAAATTTTATTTTTTATAATAAAGAAAAAAGCTAAAAGTCAAAATCTCTTAGGAGGAATTTTTTTTATGTTCTTACCAACTTTTTTTGAATTGTGTATTTTTTTTAAATAAATAACTATAGAGATAGAGAGAGTTTTCTTGAAACATGTGCTTTTAAGTAAGTTTTAAGCTAATTTTTTTATGTAATTATCAAACAGTTTTTAGTGCTTATTTGGATCCTTTTTTTTTAGCCAGAAGTTATTTATAAGAAAAAGTTAAGCCAAACATATTTTAAGAAAATGTCTTATAATAAAAAATGGTCTTATAATAAAAATTTATAATAAAAAAAAAGATAAATGACAAAAGCTCCTAGGAGAACTTTTTTTTAACTCTTATCAACTTTTCTTGAATTGTACGTTTTAGCTTATAAGTAGCTTCTAACGTAAAAAGAAATTTTCAAATTTTAAATTTTTTTTTTAGCTATACCTTATAAGTAACCTATAACTTAAAGAAAATAGAATCCAAACTGGCTTAAAAAGGAAAAAAACAAAAAAGACACCTGAAAGCGCCACAGAAGATCAGAACAGGCCTTGACACGGAAGCGATTGTTATAGAAATTGAGACGGGCAGCTTCAACCTGGGCTCGCTCCTCGGGGCTTCCTGCCTCAGGATCGAACTCCCATGTTTGCCTTCCCACGAAATTGTTTGTGGAGAAGAGATATGGGTCATTTCCACCGTCTGCTATCTTCAACCTCCACATTTCCTTTTTCTTTTTCTTGTTCTTGTTGGTGTTTCTTTTAGCCAAAGATGATTGATTGCCCTCTATGTATGTACATGTAGAGTTTAAATAAGTAGATACATTTCAGTCCTTTTTATTTTGGTAGATAGATCTCAGTCCTTACTCTTCAATTAATTGTGGTAATGGATACTCTTAAAGAATAAAATAAAGGCATTAAAAAAAGTCATCACCTAAATTTTAGATTGAAGTTTCGCCTATCGTATTATCATCAGAGCTTAGTCATGAGAAGTCATGAATTCGATCTTGCCTGCTTCTATTTTCAGATGAAATTAAAAAAAACACAAGCTAGACAAAAAAATGAATTTGTATAACACAAGGTAGATCAAAAATGAATTTGTATTATATTTACACTTTAAGTCATAGAGCTCTTGTCGTGTTAACGAATAAAATAAAAGCATTAAAAAAATCACCATCTAATGTCTTAAGTTTTTAAATTGAAGTGACATTTATTAAGATTATATTATATATCTCTAACATAATTTTATAATTGTATGTGTAATCTATGTTCTTCATGTATTCTTGAAACCTACCATATCATGATTCTAACCACCTCCTAAATGCAATTCAAGTGAGTTCGCTTAGCAGTCAGAATTGAGTCCTTCTAAGTTACCAACTTTTTTCCAGCAGAACAACCAAATATAAAACAGCAGGATATACAAACAATAAATGTTTTTACCTCTTCTTTTTTATACTTTTGGACCCAAAAATGAAAATTCTCATAGGCTTACAAGTCACGCTTATTCTTAATTTAAAAACAAAGAATGGAAAAAACCAAATCAAAACCTTTCTTCTTTCAAATCTGATATAAATAGAATATATATATATAGGAAAAGCCTTATTTATTAAAAAGAGAGGGAGAGAGAACCCTTTGTTCTCTCGACGGGGTGGGTACGGTTCGATCTTTTATGTCGTAATCAACCGAACTCGTATGTCTGTCACTTGAAATGAAGATACTATTGTTACAATTACTATAACAATAGTTTCAAGCAATAAAGTAGTGAGAAAAGTATCGTCTCATCAAGATTAAAGCACCAAGTATTATTTTAACTATTTCTCTTAATTTGGACAACTAAGGTTTTGCTTGGGAGATTTAATCAATTAAACAGGGAGATTTAATCGAGTCAACTATTTTTGTGTATTTTTTGACTATTTAATCGATTAAATATTTAAGTTAATCGATTAAATATGAGCAGATTAGTAGATAGTTTTCAATAAGGGAAAAAATGATTATTAGTTAATTAATGAGGGGTAAAAGAGTCAAAAAAACCTAATTTTTATGAATTTAAAATTTTTATATTATTTAAGTTTTAAATTTTAAATTATATTTTTTATGAAGGTAAATTATAAAAATTTATTATTTAGTTTTGTCACATTTAAAATAAAATACGATATTTTATAATATTTTTTAAAGAATGGAAGTGGGCCCAGTCTTTTAATAAGGACTTTGATGTACCCATCAGCTCCAACCATTACCCAACTTACCATTAACAAACAATTAAGTGTGTTGATTTTAAATTATGGTTCTGACTGTGTTTTAATTACAAAAATTAAAAATTACAGGTAAATCATAAATGTGGCTGATACTGCCACAATTATGATCGTGATATAATTACAAGAAGTAAAAATATCTGTATTTTTAAATGAGATAATTTGTATCATTTTATTTTTACAAAAAAGTAAAATTTACACTTTTATTATTTTTTTGTTTACTCTCACTTCTCATTATTTTTCTTTTTCTCTCACTTAACTTAACATAATTTTATTTTCTTTAAAATGATACACATTTTTTTCTTATATGAATAAGCTCCAATATACTTCGTAAATCTTCCAAAAGAATACAATTGCAGAAACGTGAACCCTGCTTTTCACGAGTCAACTTCCATTTTCAATTTTATTTTTGTTTATTTTAATTATGAGAAAAATTCTCTTTTTTTTCCTATACAAATTTTTTTTAGGTTTCGTTGTAAAAAGTAGATAGAAAAAAAATTAATATGACCTATTTATTTTTATGTGAATGTGACTAAAAAAAATTTCTCCAAAGAAAAAAATGATAATTTTAACCATTTATTTATTAGTTTTCTTAATAAAAGAAGAAAACAAAAAAAAAAGTCTTTTCATTTTATAAAAATTTGCAAGCAATTAAAACAAAAAGAGTAAATACCTCTTTCAGTTATTTTACGATTGTCCGCTTTAGTCCCTAGCAAATAAAAAGACAAGTGGATCTATTTTAGTCCTTTTGAAGAACTAATACAGGTCTTTTTTGAATTTATGAGGAATCACGATTTTGTTCATTTTAAATTTCTTAAAAATCACGAATAATTTTTTTATTTGCTAGAACTAAAACAAATATCATAAAATTTACTAAGAATAAAAAAAATATAGGTTATGTTTATCTCATTTTACATGAGATAAATAACTTTCTTACACACACAAAAAGGGGCTGGGTCCCACCACTCTTTTTTTTCTCTCCTCTTACCTGTGGGTCCCACTTATACTTTTATTTTTACAATATGAGATAATTTTTTTCTACAACATAAGAAAAATATATCCCAAAAAATATTTATTCTAAAAAAAATAGATCCTCCATTGCTTTCCATTTTTTTCTTCTTCGCAATCGTGCGTCGTTTATTTATTTTATTTCAAAAAAAAAAAAAAAAAAAAACTCGAAAGCAAAATTTTTGTCTTCTCCTACAGTTATTTCTACTCAACAAAAGTACACTATCGCTGCATGATTCTTATCCTGTCTCACGAAACACGACAAATCCTTCTTTGAAAATAAATTCAAAACCAAAGAAACAGGTGGCCACTGACACACTATTATAGGATGGGATGTATCACTGAAAATTTGAAAGTCAAACAAAGAAGGTGGAAGTAGGAGGGGAAATTTATTTCCTTCGAAAGAAAGGACAGAGAGTTGTTGCCCAGAAAAGACGTATGCAATTCAAGATAGCTATTTTGGAGATACCAGCTCAAGTGGAGGAGTACGGCCGCGGACAGGTCTCCCTCTCGGTATCTCTCTGCAAAATCACTCGCTTCACTCATCCTTTTTATCTTTCAACCTATTAATTTGATAGATACTGGTTCCTAATCCTAATCAAAGATGGAGAGATAAAGTTGGAACAGTGAATAGAGTGTCACTTTTTTGTTAAATTTTTTATCAAATGTTATTACTGATGATAATGAATTTTGTGACCAATAATTTCATGATACATGGTCATATTGCAGATTAAATTTGCTATAATTAGTAGCAAATTATGACATGTCTAACTTTTTACTATAAAAATATGTCACGTATCATATAAAATTATTGGTGAACATAATTTGCTACCAGTCGTAGCTAATTATGCTTTCGCGGTAGTCTAGTAAAAAGTATTATCCGTATGTCATTTGAGAAATATTTTTGTCAAAATATAGATATTTTGATCACTGTTCCCACGAAATTAAAGAAATAAGGAAGGAAAGGAGTTCTTTATTTCGCGAATATTTCATGTACAAACATTTGTTACATATTTGCGATGGTTCCTCAAGGAACATAAAAAAGAACATTCACTAGCTAAGTTATAGTAGTGAAAGTACACGAATGATAGCTACGCAAAGTAATAGTGACCAAAATGTCATTATCTATTAAAAAATTTATTCAAATATTACGTAAACAGTGTTATTTTTCAATATGTCACGTGAGCAAGTTCATTACAATACCTAACAAACTTGGTTGGCTGAAATGACATCTTTTTGGTGGCCTAGTAATTTGTTATTGAAAGTAGCGAACTAGGTGCGGAGAAGTTGGCTACAAACTACATGCACTTGTCAGAAAAAAATAGTCATTAGTGTGGACAAGTTCGCTAGATTATACAGCGAATTATGTCCAAAAAGATTTCCCACGGCGTCTTAGATTTAAACTATCTATATAAAAAGAGAGGAGGAATATTTTAACTATCAAAATTTTTCATTGCTAACTTACTAACTATCTCGTTACCATTAGATTAACATTTTCTCTCTCTTCAAAAACTTTTTAACATTCTCTCTCTTTAATCTAATGATAATATGATGAGTAGTAAGTTAGTAGTGAGAATTTTTAGTAGTTAGAATATCCTTACTTGTAAAAAAATGGTTTCTAGTTTTGCAGCATTGAGTCTTTTTATACTTTTGATTTCAGACGTAGTTTCGGGACAAACATTTTGATTTCACATCCAAAATGTTTGCGTGTGTCGGATGATAAGTAGTTTGTACTTTTGCAGCATTGGGTCTTTTTGTGACTTTACTATTTAGTGGGTTCATAATAGTTATTGAGTTTTAAAGCACCACTGCCTCACCTCACAAAAATGCAGGCTAATTTTTATGCTCATAGTGCACACTCCCTTATTATTCTAATAATACTACTTTTGTTATAAAACTAATTTTACGAGTTATTCTAATTAATAAATTTTAAAAATATTAATATCTTTTTAACTTCATTTCGTTCATATTTTTCATAAATAAAATGAGAGATTAATGATTACAAAAAATGTGAGATTAATAAGATAAAAAATATAAATACAATTATGTTTTTAAATTAAAAATATTTGATAAATTTTAATCTTTGTAAGAAAATTAAATTGAAAGAGTATTATTTATATATTGTAATAGTTCCAAAAAGATTAGAAGAGTCAGAATACAGTAATATAATAATTTTTTAATATATTAAAGTATGTTTTTGAATTGCAACGTAGAGATATCATATTATTTATTATGGCAAGATGTGACGCTTCCAAATCCAATTGTCAAAAATCATTATTTTTTTGGACATAGTTCGCTATATAGTCAAGCGAACTTGTCCACAGATATGTACTTTTTTTTTGGATGGTGTCATATGGCAGATAGTTCGTTTGGACCATAGCAAACTTAGTGTATTTCAGACACGTGACACACCTAGTTCGCTGTTTGTGATAATAAACTTCTCCAATGTGTCAGCATTAATTGTAACATAGTTTGCTACTGGAAATAGCGAATTTGTTGTCCACC